AGATTAGTTTAGGGTTCAGGGTTTAGGGTGTAGGGGTTTAGGGTTAGAGGCGCCTGACTGACTAGAACAGCACTTTGGTGGACACCAAACAACTATAAGGACAACTGTCGCCTGGAGCTGTGGTTTCTGCAGGGCTTTGGCTTTAGCGTCTAGGGTTTAGAGTTTTACAGGAGCCTGAATACCTAGAGTAGGCTTTTTGGGTATATGACAGCATAAGTACTGGAAGGATCCGACAAGTGAAAGTTTCCCATAAAAGTACCCTTTAGTAGTATGGGGTGCTTAAATTAAGGGATCCACTTTTCAGATGCTTCCGGCAGTCTGAGTTCAAGACCAAACCACCCGTAAAAGTGAGGCCCCTATACCCGTTATACTGTGAATACAGATATATTCTAAGGTTGAAACCATGGGCCCCTAGTATGGGCCCTTGACCCTGGGATCCTTATACACCTACTATATACCCTATATGTACCCTTAAGGGTCCCTAGAAAGGCCCAAGGGTCCATATTAGGGGCCCTTACTTCTAACCCGTAGATATAATGTACTGGAACCTGAAACCCCATTAGGGTTCACGTCGTCCCTAATCCTAAACCCTAAACCCTAAACCCGAAACCCTAAACTCTAACCCCAAACCCCTAAACCCTAAACCCTAAACCGATCAGGGCCCGAGACTCGGTGTGACCCTTGTCTCATACTTCATACTTCATACCGGCAGGCAGTGTATTGGGCCCATGGCGCCAATCAGCCAGAAAATTGCTTTGAATCCACCGGAAAGAGCGGAACAGATACAACCATCCGCTTAGTTCCACGTCGGAGACAAAAGGGCATAACCTAACCACTTACCCCCTAAACAGACTAGGACATCTTGGATCCCAGCACTAGCAACTATCTCAGGCCTAAACCCTAAACCCTAAACCCTAAACCCTAAACCCACAAAGTCTGGTTACTGGCGCACAGGGCTTCGAAAGAGCTCTCTCAGAGGCTGATGGTCAAGCTCTCCAACGGAGCGCTGGAACGAGCCCAATCGCCTCGCCATACGGTTTAGGGTTTAGGTTTCAGAGCTTAGGGTTTAGGGCTTAGGGTTTAGGGTTTAGGGTTTAGGGTTTAGGGTTTAGGGTTTCGGGTTTAGGGTTTAGGGTTTCGGGTTTCGGGTTTAGGGTGTCGGGGCATAGGGATGAAGGACCAAAGGCTCCAACGCACCTATGTTGTAGAATGTAGGGCTTCTATTTTAGGGGTTTAGGGTTTAGGGTTTAGGGTTTAGGGTTTAGGGTTTAGGGATTAGGCATAGTGTGATTATGATTTGGGAAAGTCTCTCCCCCCATAACAGTACCTAACCCTAAACCCTAAACCCCTAAACCCCTAAACCCCTAAACCCTAAACCCTAAACCCTAAACCCTAAACCCTAAACCAAGCCCTAGGACCCTTTGGGAGGGAGTGCAGGAGGTACTTAAAGGATCATGGGACTTAGTAAGTAAGGTTAAAAGCCCCTTAATTGGGTGTTATAAGTATAGTTACCTTAGTTATAACCCTACTTACTAAGTCCCATGATCCTTTAAGTAGGGTTTGGGATTTACTCCCTAAGCCCTAGTAACCCTATAGATTCTATAAGCCCCCAAACCGCCTCCCGGTGGAAACATCGAAACTCCTGGGGGCATCTCTTGGGCCTTCGGCATCTGAACCCATAAGTATCTTCCCAAGATCCCTTACGTTAAGGAATAGGTTTAGGGTTTAGGGTTTAGGGATTTAGGGTTCAGGGGTTTAGGGGTTTAGGGTTTGGGGATTTAGGGGTTTGGGGTTTAGGGTTTAGGAGATCGGATCCTTAAGATCAGTGAAGGTATACTATAGGGGTTTAGAGTTTAGGGGTTTAGGGGTTTAGGGGCTACGGGTTTAGG